ACGTTTTAAAATGTCTCAAAGTATGTTTCCAGTGTTCCTCATATATCTATCCATGGTGAAGTTTCGTTTCCGGTTAAGTATAAAATTGCATGCATTTACAACTTCAGGTTTTGTCCCGCGTTCTCTTGACCTCAGTACTTGACCTCAGCGCAGACAGTCATCCCGTGAACAGGTGCGCCAGTTTGTTCAATATGGCGATGTGTGAGCACAACATGGTGCAACTCATCTTGTTAAGTCCCCAACACTTTACACCTGCAATAGCTAATATAAGGACGAGGCCAGTACTGGAATTGATATCGTCATCATGTCTCGAAGTCTTCTCGTCCTCTTGCTTTGTTTGACCTCACTGACTCTGGCAGCCAGGAAGAAAAGGCCAAAGATCATCAAACACCAAGGCCCGAAGGTACTTCATTTGTTAAGTTCATATTTAAGAGTGACTGAGTGAATATGGTTTAACAGAAGCCCAGTGATAAATATTTCCTTTTGGCTAAATGTGGGAGGAAAACCTGAAGTGATGTCGGTCTTAGACGTTTAAAACTTTGGGTAAGCTCAAGAGCAAGGACTTAGTGCTGTCAGACCTAGAAACATAAAAAGGGGCGAACCGCAAGTAGAAACCACGATAATAAATCTCAGGCATGCCCAGACGACGTGCCTCTGCACAGGGAAATGTGGCGGCTCAGAAACTGGTGTGTATGATTGTTTGGAGTTTTTGTCTCGCTGTTTTCATATATTTGTCACCTCTTTTTTTGCCTTTACGTCAAATGGATTCTGTTTCGGCGTATAATCGAGACTGGTTATTCTCAGGCGTTGCCTTTTATATTTCCAGTCATCGAGATACGACATAACCAGAAGACAGTGTGAGTGGGTATTGTCTTACGCCGCCTCTATCAATAGTCCAGCCACAACACCTTCGGTGACACGACAGATGGACTTCATTGTACCCATGTGGGAATCCTCTGCGAACGAGCAAATGCTTAAACCTGTATGCTCCTCAACCACCCCGACCTGTATGTTTTTTGTTTTGTTTTACAGTTACCCAGATACGAGCAACCTGGTGGTGTACCCTCCCATCCTTTGCACTACCTGGATCATGGGGTTGACGTTGCCTACCCCATTGGGGTAAGTCATTTTATTAACATTCATTATCTGTGTAGTTATTTCATTGATAGAGGTAACAGTCACTGCATACATGTTGGCGTGAGATTTGATAGAGCCACTATTATAAATCTCGCTTCACCAGATTGAAACAACGCCCAGACCGCCATTCCGAGGTTAGGGGAATTCTAGCCAGACTAAAATAATCTCAAGTGATCGCTTTATTCTAGTATGAAGTTGTGTAGGTTAGAAGCAGTCCGTGTTTTTAACGTGAAACGATATAATGTAAAAAATAAAATAAAATGATATTTGTATTTTAGGTACTTTAGAGCATGTGCATTTCATTTAAATGTGTGAGAAAGACATGCTCTTTTCAATATAAGCTTTTCCTTACAATTATGATTTTTAATCAAAGTTTCAGCAAAACCTGTTGGGGATAATTCAAGAATATAGTATAGTATCTTGTCGACATGATACGTGATGATATCCCATGGTATGACAATTATATTAAGTTATCACACCTCCTTTCTCACTTTTTAATGAAACTTGTGTCGATGACGGGTGCTACCGGTAGAGCACGGCAGCTTTACCTTCTTCGGGAACACCTTGTGTCATCACTGTGCTTCATTGATCCATCGTGACTCTTTTGCCTTTAACGCCTGATTGAAACTCTTTCGGTAGATGCCCGAGACTGACTATTCTCTGGCGCTGTCATATCTCTCCCATTTTAGATGCGATCGTTCGGCCACTGCATTGCCCAGCTACATCTTATCTTGGGGGAACAACTTACTAGACACTTCCCTCTAAAACATAACGTCATCCAATTTACGACGTCATCAAGTTACTAGCGCATATTCGAATCTCCAGAATTGACGTCATGGCAGAACAATGTTTTATCTTGATACAAACCGCTCTTCGTTCTTCATTGTTCTATGTTACATGTTTGCAATGTTCTCCGAAATAAAGGGGTAGCCGCGAAACTATCTGGGTGTGGTGTGTGTGTGTGTGTGGTGGTGGGGGGGGGGGGGGGGGGGGGGTGGTGGTGGTGTTAAATGTGGACCAGAAATGGTGAACTTAAGGCCATTCTGAGTGAGTGAGTATGGTTTTATGCCGCTTTTAGCTTAGGCCATTCTGGGCATAAATAAAGTGCGTGGTTAAAATCTTTAGGTGTCTGTTTTTATGTGTGTACACAAAACATCTTTTTTTCTTCATAGATTATTAGCCACTTGACTCTTTCAACACCAGTTGGCCAGAAGCTTTAACTGCTGCGACACTGAGTTCCCAGAGACTCCTGTGTGATAGATGAAGCCAACATTTATCAAGGAAAATATCTGCTTGTAAAACATTTGTCCTGCACTATGACTGTGAAAAAACACCAATCTAGAAACGTATACAAAAGCAAGTCTAGCCAGCTCTAGCAAGGAAATCAACATCGGAAAAATTATGGTTTTTTTATTTTTAGACTCGAGAAGGGTATTGTGTAATATAAGATTTCATGGACTAAATGGTAGTCTAGTAAAGTATCTTTGCAACTACTTGGTTGATGCATTTCATCGTATCCCAAATGCGTGGATCTATGCTCATGGTGTCAATCAATTATTTTCAGACCGCCGTCATATAGCTGGAATATTGCTGAGTGCAGCGTTAAACAACAAACAAACAAATCAGGTTATACACCATTTGAAAGGTCTAATTCTACTGTTTATACATAGGAAAGTTATGTTTATCACATTATTTAAATAAAGCATTTATAACTTACTTAAGTAAGTTGCAAATAAAACAAAATGTAAGCTAACACATTCAAAACGTCTAGATTAAGGATACATGATAAAATGATAAATTGAAATGGAATACGTATTTCAGACATTGTGAAATGTGGTAGATTTAATAAATGAATGATATGACAGGTAGTTTCATGAAATAATATAGGCCCACCCCCTATTTTGATGTGACTACGGCTTGGCCGGTCTACCGGCCTGCGGCGTTGAGAGAGTACATTTGCTCTTCAAGCCAATTTTCTTGAAACCTATTTTTCTTTTGACAACGTTTCGGCGATGCCATTTTGACCTTAGTCCTTAACATTTACAAAATACTGTTAACAGGGTCTGCGATTGGCTTACGTTTCTATTTCCGTTTTGTAAACCAATCAGCAATGCCATTACGGACACGACATGGAAGAGAAACGTCATCGTAAACTTCACAGCCTCCCGCGGAACCGGAACATAGCGAATATTGGAGACACATTCACATATTCACGTGGGATTTGTGTGTGTGTGTGTGTGTGTGTGTGTGTGTGTGTGTGTGTGTGCGCGTGTGTGTGTGTGTGAGAGTTGGGTTTAACGCCGCTTTTAACAGTATTCCATCCGTGCCCCCCATGGGGTTTGGGAGCGAGAGAAACTTGAAACAAAGGTTTAATATAAGTTATGCGTGAAGTAAACTTTTTCAAAATGAAAAACGCGTGATAGGACGCGTGTGTGTTGTTTTTTGTTGTTCTTTTTTTGCGTCCTATATTTTTTCAGTGCGTATTTTCTATATGGGACGACGTAAACGCAAACAAACTATAACACTTTTCAAAGTGGCAATACAAACCAGCTCATTCCCTCCCCAGGCTCGTGACTACCACAAAGAAGGAGCTCAAAAGCAGGCAGAAATAGAGCTGGAGGTAAATATTATTTTATTGTTAAGAATACATAACTTTTACAATCCTCTGACAATATGTTCATCGCATTCCATCAAAATCACCTATATCTCAACAACAAGGCCACTGGCCAAAAATACAGACATATTCAAAATATATTTCCCAGTGCTACAATTTATGGAGAAAATATTTATGGACATATATCATTTATAGTATTCTTGAACAGAAAGCACATATAGTGGTGATACAAATGAACATGTGGTGCATGAAAAGATTAAATATGAATGCGGAGCTAAGTCATCATGACATTTAGCCTGTACGTGCTTATTTCAGCTGTTGGAGTCCAAGCTACACCGGGCCGAGCGATCTGCAGAAGAAAACGTTCTCGTCCGGAAGAAGCGCTTCCTTGATAAAACCGTCGTCTGGGAAGACGGAATCATCCCTTTTGAAATAAGTGGCCTAAGTAAGTGTGTTGGTTGGTTGTTTAACGCCGCACCCAGCAGCAACATCCCAGCTATATGACGGTATCTGTAAATAATCGAGACTGGACCGGACAATCCAGTGATTGACATCATGAGAATCGATCTACGCAATTTGAATACGAAGAAAGAGAGCCTACCCACCTGATCCCGTTAGTCGCCTCTTACGAAAGCATAGTGGCAAGCATGGGTTGTTGAAGATCTATTCTAACCCGGATATAAGGCGCCGCGATTCGCTTTGCAGAGTTGCGTCCCTTGGGCACGCCAGAAACATATGATTGTGGGTTCAAATCCCGGTTCGCCCGATTCTGTTTCTAGGATTGTCAGCACCATACCCGTGCTCGTGGGTTTCACCGAAGTGGTAAACATCTAAGACCGGCATCAGTTGGGGCTTTCCTCCCACAATAAGCTGACTCGCCGTGATATGATTTGAAAACTGTTAAAAGCGGCGTTAAACACAACTCACTCACTTACTCATACTTCGTTTCCCCGTGGGTATTCCGAGTGAGGTAATTCGTGAGTTACTTATGAATGTGCAATTGCATAGATTTCCACATTTTTATTATTCCATGTCGGACGCTAACACGCCGTGATGTAACCGAACTTTTCAAAGAGACGTTCAACCTAACTCACGACAATCGTTAATTGATATCATGCTGCATATTGCAGGTGCATCCTCTGAGGCGTTTGTGAAGAGCGCAATGGGTACAGTCGAACAGTACACCTGTGTCAGGTTCTTCGTCCGGAACAGCGGCGGCTACAGCGTCCCCCACAACGTCTACCTACGCTTCATATCCGGCAACGGGTAATCTCCATCGTAGATGGTCTACGTTACAATCTTACTGATTATTGCAGATTCATATTATCCATGAATGTATTGTTTGGTGAATGAATTGTGTTAACAAATTATATACTGGACACATGAAACATGAGCCCATGACCACGGGACATGTAATTCTTCACTTTCATCAGTCAACGACTTTCTTCACTTTCGTCTGTTAATGCCTCTCTCTACTGTCATATGTCAACGACCACCTCCACATCCATCTTCCAACGACTTTCTCTCTGTAAACGAAATTCTCCAATTTAATCTTTCAATGCCTTTCCTATTCTGTCTTTTTCAACTTTCTTCTCTCAACCTATTTCTCCAGTTTTATCTGTCAACATGTCTCCACTTTCATCTGTCGATGTCTTTCTTCACTTTCATCTGTGACTTTCATCTCTTGAAGCCTTTCTCAATATGCATTTGTCAACGACCTCCTCCATTTACACCTTCCAACGACTTTGTCCGCTTTTATGTCTTAGCGACTTTCTCCACGTTAATCTGTCAACGGAATTCTCCATTTTAATCTGTCAATGCCTTTCTCTGTCTGACTCATAATCCCCAGCGAGATGGGCTCACTTTGGTTACCGGTGGCCTATAGCCCATGTTTTAAACTGCATACATGATATTTTTTTGCTCAAATATGTTTCATAAATTGTTTTTAAATATAACTTTGCATAAATATCTAAATTGTGAATATATTAACTTGGTCTCGTTTCAATATGGCTGAAATACTGCCGGTGCGACGTTAAATTTTAACTCAATCACTGAGTCCGTCTGTCTTTTTCCACTGTCTACTCTCAACCCATTTCTTCACTTTCATCTGCCGATGTTTTTCCCCAAATTCATCAGTCAAGGTCTTTCTCCAATTTCATCTGTCGACGACTTTTCCACTTTCATCTGTCGATGTCTTTCTTCACCTTCATCTGTCAATGACTTTTATCTCTTGATGCCTTTCTCAGTGTTTATTTGTCAACGACCTCCTCCATTTCCATTTTCCAACGACGTACTCCACTTTCATATCTTAACGACTTTCTCTACGTTAATCTGTAAACGAAATTCTCCATTTTAAACTTTCAAAGCTTTTCTCCGTCTCATTCTGTCAAGGACCTTTTCCACCTTCTTCTCTCAACCTATTTCTCCATTGTCATCTGTCACAATATTTCTCCACTTTCATCTGTTAACGACTTTCTCAACTTTCATATGTTGATGCCTTTCTCCACTTTCGTCTGTCAACGCCTTTCTCTGTCTCAATCTGTCAGCGTCTTTCTCCACTTTCACCTGTCAGAGAAATTCTCCAGTGTCATCCACCTACGACTTTGTCCACTTTCATCTGCCAACGTCTTTCTCCACTTTCATCTGTCAACGTCCTTCTCCATCTCCATCTGGTAACGTCTGTCAGTAGTGCGTTTACTTCATTATAGTTACCTGGTTTGGGGTAAACAAAATGTAATGTTGTTTTTTTTATATTCCATCTCAGTTGTTACTCGTACATTGGACGAACCAGCCGGGTCCCACAAGATATATCACCATGCGACCATTATGTACGTATTACTTGAACTTAATAAACAGTAGCAATACAAAGACATTGCTGTACTATCAAAATATATTATATCTGTAAAATTCATTAAGGTAAGGGCAAATATTATCATCCGGATATGCAATCGTGCCATGCCTGTATGGTTACGTGTATGTGAATATTGTGCCAATGTTTTACTTCCCCCCAGCCAATGGCTCTCCATGAGATTATCCACGCAATGGGAGGATATCACGAACAGGGGCACTACAACAGAGACCAGAACATCCATCTCAAGCTGAACAACGTGTTGCCAGGCAAGTAGTATATGATATCATATGGCCTAGGGCCGATTTAAAATGGCACTTCGCTTGGTTCACACACATATCTGTATCGTCCAGCAGAACAGGACCATAAAAAAATCAACATTGACAATGAGATTATGTCCCACATCCTTGGATCGTTTAAGAAAAAAACTGTAGAATGCCTTGTTTTCATCATAAGTTTTGACATTTTTCACAAGGGGGTTATCAGACAAAACATGTGTGCAAAATTGCAAAATATAATTCTATCATGAAGAGCCTCAACGTTAATCAAACGACGCCCTTCCTCAATGTTTGGTTGTTGTTGTTTCACGCCGCACTCAGCAATATTCCACCTCTATGACGGACGTCTGTAAATAATCGAGTCTGCACCAGACAATCCAGTCTTTGACATCATGAGCATCGATCCACGCAATTGGGATTCGATGACATGCATCAACCAAGTCAGCGCGCCTGACCATCCGATCCTGTTAGTCGCCTCTTACAAGCATAATCACCTTTCACGGCAAGCATGGTTGGAGAAAATCTATTCTTCCCCGGATCTTCACTCTTCACGGGTTTAAAAAGGATTTGAAAGGACGAGTACAGCATAAGTATTTGTGTCTTTGGCTTTATTGCGAGCTTTCAGCTCTGAACTCCAGATTTCCTGAAGTCTACGTTTGTATTCTGCACGAAGTTTGTCTTTGCTATGGGCATTCAGGAGTCATTAGAAAAGAACTAGAAAATTAGAATCTGTTTTTTTTACTGTGGACCCTCATTGGCAATAAGTTCAAGGTCATCCATGTAAAGGAGGTGAGGAAGGTTTTTTTCCTGTTTCCTAAGCAAACGGCTTAAAGGATTTAGTGACGACAGAAAAGCAGAGGACTAAAAGAATCGCCCTGGAGTATTCCTCTTCTAATAGTATTAGGTTCCAAAATCACCACCTGCCCCTGCAAATACATCTCAAGTTGAGTTGACCAGCAATTCATTAAAGACTTGAGTAAAACAAGCAGTCGCGCGGGAAGGTCAATACATTCAAAAATCCATTCGTGGGGTACAGACTCATAAGCCTTTCTGTAGTCTATTCAACACATTGAGAGGTTACAGTAGTAAGTTTCAGTCTCTTTAAGCATCATTGTCAGAACTAGCAATTGATCCTTAAAACCCACGCATCCCTTTCTAGCTTCTTTATGCTTCATGAAAAGAAGGTCATTGGAAGCGCAGTATGACATAAGATCTTCTTAGACACCCTGCAAATATTTTGTACTGTGTATTCAGACAAGAGAATTTAAACAGTGAAGTTATGGTGTTTGGACACATGGGAACAGTTTCCAATTGCAGTTTCGAATGCAAACAGGCACTGGCGCCGTATTAGATTTGGACTTTTTAATTACATTTTTCAGGCAATCAGGAGTAATGAAACATATTATTTATTTTCGTGTACACTATCATTGTAATCCTCTACCCATGGTTCCTAAAAGTTGCAGTTGAGTTCCAAAACCTTTCACTTGAATCCATGGTGGGTCTTTCCTCATCACTGTCATTGGTTGCATTAATTGCTTGTAAAATTGTTTTTCATAAGATTTAAAGGTGAGGTGAGTTGAGGTGAAATTGGGTTTAACGTCGCGTCCAAGATTATTACACTTATATAGCGACTCATAAGATTTAAAACAATTATTTTGTTGTATGAAATTATTTTCCGTGTCCCACTTTCTTTTACTCTCTGTCCATACCTTTAAATTTGCCTTCAGAGAATCAAGAATTTGATTTAGAATTTTCCCTTCTGTTGTCTTGTATTCTGTTTTAATTTTTTTCCAAATTGATTTTGGCGTTTTCACATTGATTGCTCAGAGGAACGTAATTTTAAGCAAAGTTCTTTCCAGGATATCTCTTTTTTTGTTGTTTCATTTAGTTTTATTTGAAATTGTTTTTTCGTTTGATGATTGTGTTTATTACCCATTTTGTAGTTCATTGTCTTTGGAAACTGTGGGGAGTTCCTCCAGTGTTCGAGCCTCAGCATAGACGCAAAAGTAACGTAATGCAAAGAACAGTCCGCAATGAGAGTAAAATGAACAATGTTATTTAATGTATCAAGCTGGTTCTGTGGAAATGATTGGTGACATTGTTTTATTGGTCTCCGTTTCTCAATCGGTAAGTCACAGATCTGATTATAAAAGGACTTAAACAAAATATACCAAGGATCATCAAAAAGATCATCGACAGTAGACACTCAAAATCTTCGAGGCCAACATCAGGGATTTTATTTTGTGATTTGGCATTTAGATCATCAGACTCACGGCGCATATAAAACTTCTGTCGTCTGAGCTGGTCGCGAATATGCAGCTCTGTCAGGTATGCAAACATTGGCATGGCTTTGTCCCCATGCTGCTCCAATAATTTGCCATTTACTTGTGGTATTTCTAACCATCCTGTTCGCACACCCAAAGAAGTGTGGAATTCAGTTGGTGCGTTAGAGATATTCTTGGGGCAAGTCCAATCTCCAGTTTGGTTGGTTTGTAAACCGAACGGAGGCTGACTGGGCTGCGGAGTTGAACGATGGCTTTCTTCTTGGTGTTCCGTAACCCAGTAGTGAACCAGCTTCAATGGGTTAGTCCTAACTCGGTGATTTACGTTCAGTTCAGGTGAATATATCTTCCCTATCTAGGCCAACCATGGAGAGGCGTACATCATCAGGCCCTTATTATTATTATTAAAGATGTACATGACAACGTAAAGTAAACCAAGGAAAATGTGTCACAATAGCAACAAAGGCATTGCGATAAGTCTGAACAAACTACTTCCACACTTCTGAGAAACATAGAAGCAACAGATGTAAGGAATTAAAAATTCACTTAGATTTCTTTATTGTGTGGGAAACAATATTGAGGAGATGTCATTGAGGGTCATGTTGAGGAGAAAGGCAATGTTGTACCACACTTGTATTATCATGCAAAGCATGTTGAGTTATTGAAAAGTCATCAGCTTGAAACAAATATGGATCACCTAAATGAGCTTTTGTATCTATGCTGATTGTAAATGTTAGTTGATAATTGTCATTCACTGAAATGCAGTTCTCTCTTTGCTAACGAAGCAACTGACGGCAACCATAAAACCAGTATCCCTTTCTGCCAGACACGTTTCAGCTAATGAACCAGGAAATCCTATCCAGGTTTCACTGAACAGAGAGCACAAAGGCAGTTGATTAATCATTTTAGTAATTTTATTAAGCCGAAAACAAGAGCATGCTTTTCGGACATCGGCGCACAGTCGAATTTATTCTCAGTAGTTGTTTCCAGATTTGAAACAAGTTCTTTGATCCGTGAACAGACATGACATTGTATTAAAGAGCCGAATTCAATATGTGCCGAGTGTTGGTTGTTGGTATTGGGTTGAACTCCGCTTTGAAGATATTCTTGTGAGAGTATATAAATGAAGATACGGCATGATAAGTTGAGGTTTTCTTTCAGGACGAGAAAGCAACTTTCAATCTGTTTCCGACATATTTCGAAATGACTTCATCATCTATCCCTACAATGGCCAATCGACAATGCATTACAGTGATTTTGTAAGTATACTGTGTGGTGAACGTTGAACTCATGTGAACAATCAGTTCCCGGAGCATGGGACTAGGCGTAAGCAAGCACTTCACAGGCAGCGGGGTATCTAGCATCAAGACGTAAGCGAGTAAGTTGTATTTCACATAGAATGGAAGGTTATTTCCCGGCACGTCAGATTAGCTTAGGTAAAGTTCGAAGTGATGCACGCTTGATACGTTTAACACTTTGTTGAATAAAAAAGCACTGGTAGATAAGTTGCAATTCAAGTCGAAGGAGGAAGGTCTCGAATCGCCATCATCCTGCACTTGTATAGGTACAGCCAGCCGTCCAGAAAATGCTAACGCGAAGCGCCTCGAACAATATTAATGGAGTTTTCCCAAACTGTAAAAAAATCATGGTCCTGATAGAGGTGCTCGCTGTACCTGGAGAGTGACGAAAGTGTCAATTGCTTGGACGGACTTGGTAAACGTGGAATTAGCGTCTGACTGGAGAGCGGAAGGTCGGTGGTTCGATACCCGCGCCATAGTTTTTGACTAGTATAAGCAGTCACACACGTAGTCACACACACATACACAAACACACACAAGCAAAGCACACACACACACACACACACACACACACACACACACACACACACACACACACGTGCATGTCCCTATTAGAAGTGCAATCTTTAAGTCGACGTTAAGCCTCGTTTTTACTTACCTCACCTATGTAGGCAGGAGGCAAGTATTTACACATACGATCAATTATCATTACATGTTAAAGAATCCAGATTTATTTCCCATAATAATATCCCTAGTTAATACAAATTATATTTGCACTAGTGTGGAGAACATGTCCAAAGCTTACAGTAACTACAGTACATTTATTGTAGGCTTTCAGCAAAAACGGCCTGCCCACTCTAGACCCATACTATGATGACATAGCAACATTCCGTGAAGATTTCTGGTACAGCATGAAAGAAGTGAACGAGGCGTACCAATGCACTCGTGAGTAAAGCATTTCTACGCGTACCTTAATTTCTATGTGTCATCTTAATGTAGAAGGAAAGTGATGGTCCCTTGGAAAGCACATGGTCATCATCTTGAAGTGTATTGCCTCTCACACTTAATTCGCAGTTGTGTCGTCCTCCATTATCTGTAAGGTTACACTACAGTGATATTTCAATGACTGCTTAATATCGAGGTATCGTATACTGAAACAGTATCTGGCTGTCAGAAAGATGGGTTAAGGTGAGCTGAAATGGGGTTCAAGATTATTTCACTTATATAGCGACGTGCATGCACGTACATGACTGCTTGACTGTACTAGGAATTTTAGCGGTTTTATAGTGTTAGCCCTTTGAAATGCCATGCCACAGTTTAACATGAATACCCCACTCACATTTTTTGACTCCAACCCGACCAGTCCTTTTCACCTCTTTTGGTATGACACGGTCATGGGATCGAACCATCAACCTTCTGCTCTCTAGGCAGACGCTCTATCTGCTAGGCTACGAAGGTTGTTGGACTTTAAAGGAAAAGTTGTAATACTGCTTGTTTATATTTTGAAGTTGTCTCGCTATTGATCTTGCTGTGATCAAATAGTGACGCGCTTCTATTCCAAGACAGGTAATGGCAATTCAAAGGAGCCCTTGTAGGTGCAGAGACTTTGTGGCAACCCTACCACTGCCTGACATTGAAGAAATGTTCAAAGTAAAGTCCGCAAGGTGATGGCACACTTTGTACCAGAAACATTGCCGATGTAATGTGAGCGCTCATTGGTCTGAGAAGTTGCTGGAATTAGGCTGATGTAGCATGGCAGGAGCCAATGGTAGGGCAGGACATGCTTACCTCGTGTCATCAACGATTTTCAGTGGTCCATTCATATAATGTTCACAACTATTTTGTCCTTTACACCAAATGGTATTTCTTTCGGCGGATAAACTAGACTGGCTATAGTTTTGCATTGAAAATTTATAGGTACTGTAAATCTAGAAATTAATGCCTCTCCAAATTAATACGACTGATGACCCCTAGCCAAAAATGCTACTCAATATCAATGCGACTCACCCCAACATATCCCAAGTTCAATGATTCATATCCTTCCTTTATCCAACCTTACCATATTCCAATCAAACAGCACATGGTACCGCTCATGAGCACTGAGTCGAGCACTTCCCCCAAAACAATGTTATCCTAAAAGTATATATATTTACTCTGTTGACTAGCATTAATGAGGCCGTCTTATGGTTGATAGTCATTTTGGAGACATAAATGCGAAGTTAATTAATGCGAGCAAAGACCATATATTGATCACAACTTCATCACAAAGCGACCGCATGTATTTACGGGATATGGAAGAACATATAATATACCGTTACATGGAGCTGGAATCCACATGTCACTCTTCCTATCTTACAGAGCTCTGTACCAGCGGTATCCCCACATGCTTGAATGACGGCTACCCCGGGTACTACGAGGGTTCCTGTCAATGTATTTGCCCCGAAGGCCTGAACCCGGCAACCAACTGCGCAACATTTCTTCCTGAATGTACGTGAGCTAAAACGCAAGGAACTGCATAAGTACACTATATGTCATTTTGAAAGTGACACAACAGGTGTCTGTTATTTTTCAGTCACTGGGGAGCTCATTGACCTGACAACATCTTCTAGGAACGCATCATTTGGAACTCCCAGCGCCCCTTCCGCCACTATACCTGCTGGGTCAAAGTATATGTGGATCGTCAAGGTAAGTTAAGACACCACCTAGTCACCGGTAGCCTTCATATGGGAGGTGACTGCCTTCGTGGTCTATAGGAATGAGTGTCTGCCTGAAGAGTAGTAGGTCGGTGGTTCGATCCCCGCGCCATCATTTCCTACCAGTATAAGCAGTCACACACACACACACACACAAACACACATATGCAAATATCACTTCACGCGCACCAGTGTTATATTTACATCACCCGGATGGCATTGTTGACAGAGCTAAAAAGGATACATTAATAATGGGTAATTAAGAAATCATTTCACTCGAATGTGTCATTCTAATTTTACGAAACTCGTCTTAGAATTACTTGTCACGAAACAATTGGCCCTCTTAGCATTTCGAGGACCAAACATAAGAATCTGATGGCGGTTGCAAGAGAAACCTATTTGAGATAACTGGTATCAAACATATGTGTGTGATCAAATTCCAGGCCAGTGATTGGCTACTCCATGGTGATTCCCTGAGGTCAGATTATGAGGGACTACTTTCCTGATCATAAGTCATTGATAAGTTGCTCGCGTTTCAGTGTTATGTCAACCTATGTCTGTGTTAAAGGGTATGGTTTTAGAGTGTTAACCCTCCTGGATGCCACAGCGACATATAGATACGATATATCACCATGTCACAAAAACCGTAAATCATCTCATACACTTATGAAAAACAACGCAACCCTCCTTATAGCGGGAGTAATTCGCGATAAACATGGACGTATGATGTCCGAAAACATATGATCCGACGATATATATGTCTCTCCTCTTCAACCCTCACTTCGAAATCGACTAAAATTCATAATACAAATCGCTCACTAAAAGTTTTGAATTCTCTGGGAAATTCCCTGCGATATCATCCACTGTAATATCATCCACTGCCTTTTTAGGCAAAGCAAAATAACCATGTGTTTAGAAATCTAAATATCGGATATTTAGTTGAAGGATTGAATTCACATTAGTGGTCACGGGAAACTGTTTTTCACGAAAATACCAATGATAATTTTGAAACGTCCCTGATGAACCAGGAATCCTTAAGAATGTTTCGGAAAATACGCCAACACGAACGCGGAAGTGCACATTCCGCAATATAAGATGCCTATTACATCAGATACAATTCAAACTCATACATTTTAGAATCAAATGACAAATGGTCTTTGTCACCAATACAAATTATCTAGATGAAATCAAGCGAAATAAATTAGGTGTGGAAACAAACACTGTGCTCGGAAAACTGTACTTGTTGAAATGTAAACAAAGCAAAATTCAGATTTTACACTCTCCTATTTTGAGAGATTGTTGAGATTGTCTAATTGTTGCGTACATTGGCTGACGCCTTTGAGAATATTCGTGGCAAGAGTATCGTAGCACAAATTGTGGACTTAAAAAATATATACATTACAATGATCAGGTAAATTCAACAGAAATCGTAAATGTTTCTGTCTTGTGTGATGCCAATCACGCAAAACGACGACGCTAGTTATCTGCATTTCTGACAAATTCTCTTGGTTACATCGGAAAACATAAAAACAAATAACATTGTACAGATTGTCTGATTGTTTCTGATTACTAACATGAAACATTCATATACATACCATTCCTCAATCGACGAAAATCCTCCTCTGAAAATCGTGCGTACTGTTGCCAGTGAACACACCATTTTGTAAAAGTCGGTCACCGGCAGTGATGTCATACGGTAGCAAACATTGGTAATTTCTTTGAGGTGAAATTCTCTAACTAGGCATCATGTGGGTACTTTGATCTATTTTGCATTATCAGCATCGCCTTGATAATCCACAGATGGCGGAAGCGTTTTTAGGTTTAGGTGTAGGGACACATTATTTATGAATAGTAAGCAGTACGTTGTGTTATGTAATAATGTGCCACTGCGATTATGAGAACATACAAAATGCATTGATTTGATGCTAAAAAGGTGCTTTCGCTCGTTAGATACGTTTTGAAACAACTCTTTGTAAGATAAATGGTATCTGACAGACACTCGTGTAGAAATCTCCATGTCACACACAAATATATCACCGAAAATATTTTTGAAGCGTGTGCACATGTAATAATAACTTGGGTATACAAGATTTTACGTTTGTGTACACACCTCAGCCTTTGGTATCGTGATGTAGAACCCAACCGGATTAAACACCCTGTACTCTGACTGATGACTCATTATCTCAAACCAAGTGACGCCACTCAGGTTAACCCAATGGTTCCGACTGTCAGAAAATAGTGATTTGCAAATCCCCCAAAATAATACAAATCCTCTGGCCTTTTTAAGGCACCTGCCGGCTCCAAGCTGTTCATATCCATCACCGACATGATGGTGACCGGTAGCGCCACCTCCTGCACTTCGCTTCTGACGGTAAAGAGGAACTTGCTGGGCCAGAACGGTACAGAGTAGGTACATAAATGACTTGAAATAATGTACGCATGTTGTACTCGTTTAGGAAATTGAACGAAAGGTTTGCCATGAGAAAATGAAAGTGTAATGTTATCTGGTATATTGAATCCCCTACATGATGAACACCTGGAGCCATTTGCCACCATTTCATCATTGCGGAAGTGAGGTCTCTCGCTTATAGGCTCGAAATAAACTCCTGATATAGTAAGTCTGGTGATGTATTTGATACGGGTATTCTACTTGTGTTTTGGACCTTAGGGGCAGAACAATTTGATTTCTAGGGGATGTCCCCGGGTTGTTGTTTTTTGGGTTTTTAAAAAAACCAAAAAACACAGCTCATCATTTTGTGTAAATAAAGAACTCAGGCTCCATCTGCTAGAAAAATAGAAACTCAGTCTTAATAAAAAGTCACGACTGCAATATGGCCAGCATCATCAATACAGAGTATTTCGTGAGCAAAGCCATAATCTTTGACAGTGACTACACCATTAGAGACAATATGTATGTAACCCATATTTATTAATACTCATTTTAAATCTTCCATTTCAAGATGAGAATCAAGTTGGCCTAAAATGTGCAGTTTGAGATGCATCAATTGTGAGGATGGAGGGTTTGTTTTTATCGGGATATGCAAGGAGCTGTCGCGAGGGCTTGCTTCAGCTTTTTGATTGTTGGAACATTCGAAGGACGCGTTTTTTTTCAAGGTTGTATAGAGGGGAGGCGATGCCAGAATAGTTTGCTTTAACCAGGCCAAACCTAAGAAATGGCGCATGTCATAAACATTTTTAGGGAAGGGATCTGTGTGATTGAATCTATTTTTGAAGGATCTTTGCTGAAGATATGCCCTAAGTAGGTGACTTTTTGAATTTACATTTGCCTGGTTTTAGAGTTGAGTCCTGCTTTTTTATCTTTTGTAATTCTGCCTTGAGGTGATTCAAATGTTTTGAAAACGTTTTTGAAAATATTATGATGGCATCTACATATATTAATATGTAAAGCCAATTCATTTCTCTGCATGCCTGAAATGCTTTGCTGAAATTCCATAGGAGCATGTTTGAGGCCGAAAGGGAGGCAATTTCATTCTAAAACAGCATCGGGTGTAATGAAGGCCGACTTGAGTTTTGTAGCTGGATGGAGTGGTATTTGCCAAAAGCCACAAGCACAATCAAGGACACTAAATATGTTGGCACGGCTATTGTCTATATATGGCATCAACAACATCTTCAAAACATGGCAGAGGGGCTTGGTAACTGCATTGTAGCGTCTATAGCTTATGACAAAGCGGTCAGGGCTGTCACATATTTTTTTTAAATGACAACCGGAGAGTGCCATTCAGAAGAACTGGGCTGAATGATATTGGCTTCTAACATTTTTGCACCTATCTGGAACATTTTTTCCTTATGGCTGCCTTTTGCTTATAAAAGGCAGTCTAATGGGTCTGGGGTCAATAGTTTCAATTTTGTGATGATGTAAGTGAGTATGTCCCAAACCTTGAGGCAAAAACTGACCTTTGTGAAATACATTTTACTGTATACTTGAACTTTCAATATTGGCACTATTTTAAAAACTCTTTTGAGGACAAAAGCTCAATGACATTCAGGGGCATTGTTAAAGTGCAAACCACTTCAACAGATTTCTTTGAAACTTCATTCGTCCAAAATACATAATTGTTTCAATATGTTTTCAAAGTGCACAGAAATCGCATTTTTCTGTTTTATGTATACAGCAAAATTTGGCATATCCCCTCTAATCATCAGCCTTTCCGGGCACGACACTTAATCCCCAGCGCTATCTAAATGCCAATTAACACCGCCTTACATTGCCTGACCTTGGGTATAGTCTGTTATTATATACAAAAAGCATTATTGTGCTGCTATTTTCATAGTTATAATATTTCAGTGAACAGTGAGAACATTCTTTCCATAGTCTGAATTTGAAATGTGCCACCAAAAATATCTCAGCTCTTTTTTAAGAAGATAAAAATATCTTCTCAGCCCCTAAAATCAAGAAAAAAATCAACATGACTCCACACAAAGACACAGGCTCCCCTCTCAATATCAAATGGTCCGCCCCTTGCACTGACAGTGTTTCCGGGACCAGCCTTAAATCGTAATGATCATGTTTGTAATTCTTTGGCCTGAAATGACTGCAATATCAAACTTTGTTGGAATAGTTATAGGTGTGGGAGTACAGGGGTGTTGGGTATGGAGAGGAAGGGGCGGTTGTTGTGGTGATGGAATTGTTATGTCATGGCATATTGTGATATGTTTTAGTAATTGTAATTTTCAATTTCATGTCGACACCTTTTAAGAAAGAAATTTGCATAGAAACTTGTAACTGTATCGTAAAATGTAAGGAGAGGGGTGACAATATTGTCAGCCTTTCTCAGGTGTGTGTATATTTGGTGATATTTCCAGGGACTTTATCCACATAAAATGGAGATAACAATGTGGACAATAAGTGTTTTCCCCTAATTTTCCAACGTATATGATCATAGGAGCCACATGTGTAGGTGCCTATTATTTGTTGAGTAGAGTTACATTTGTCCCTCAGAACTATGATTGTGGGTTCGAATCTCAAATTCTCTCCCATATTTATTATTCTTCTTGTTAACAAGCAAACCTTCCTTTAACTCAATAACACACTCCATATTCAATGTATTTCAGTTACTGTGGTCAGGGCTTCGATAAACCTATCATGTCTGTGGACAACGTGATAGCTCTGATCCTGGAAGCTGGAACCTCCTCAAGCAGCTACCTCCTGGCCACAGCAACACTGCTTCCGGGTAGGGGCTGATGTAATACACACTACTTCCGGGTAGGTTCTGATATAATATACACTACTTCCGGGTAGGTACTGATGAAATACACATAACTTTCGGGTAGGCATCAATGTTATACATACCACTTCCGGGTCAGTATTGATGTAATACACACTACTTCAAGGTAGGTACCAATGTTTGACGTTAACCCCCTGAAGGACGGTGATAGAAACACAATCAGGGGGATGGGGCGGACAAACCAAAAATAATAATCGCACGATTCGATCCCACGGATTCTGGCACGCCATGATAATCCGTAACAGTGTATTTAATATCCTTGACGTTGCAGCTGACGAATGGTGTTACAATCTGGCCGACAAAGGCGCCACCTACAATGGAGAAAGGAACGTAGCAGAAGATAACACCCCGTGTATGAACTGGGGTGAAGCGGCAAAGTGTGACGTCATCCCCTTTACTTTCAGGTAAGACACCAGGTGTCGCACATATCAAACTTGTGAAATCTTGTCCACTGATGTCGGGGCGGTAGGGTGAACTTGTGTTCGCTTGTTCGTGTCCCAGAAGTGAGAATACTGTTTAATTCTAAAACACCATAATTTTTTTATCACTGCTCTGATGTGATGGTCTATGCTGTGCAGCCATGCCTTAAATTAAAGAACAACTCTTTAATTCAAAAGTTTCACTTATTTTTCACTGGAACAGGCTGTCCATAACTACATGGTCAACCAAGGGCAATGGCTGCCATCTAGTCGTCTTTCTGATTTACACTTGAAAGGTTTGGACTTCTGACATTGTCAAATACACAAATATGATTAAATGAGTGAAAAGGGAAAATTGTCAGAACCTCAAAGAATGACCAAGTCCGTGACCCAAATGTTTTACTACATGTTTGTAGTTTTGTATGTTGTTATATGGCAGTATGTTTCATTGTTACAATGTTTGTTTTGAGATTCGGTAGACGCTCATTGCATTGTGTTTGGAAAGTCGTCAGGAAGTTACTATATGTAGATGCTACTGTGATGTGTAAACTTCCGGTCCGGTATACCACGCCAAGAGGAGATGCTAGTGTCATTTATGCTCGAGCTGTCCCCTCTCAGGAAGACACATCAGACTTTGATCATTCACGAACATTTAACATTTAATTTTCATCTCCTATGACAATCACCTTGGGTCAAAGCCTTGTCATGTTCAACTATTTGGAAAATACTTCATAACCTCTAAGAACCTCTGAAATGACCAAAGCTTATTATTGGTTCTCATACATATGAACATGTTTGATATTTTTCATAACAAGGGTTGCACAGTTCCGCAGATACCCTTTGGTCAAAAAGGGCCCTTATCCCTTCTTGTTTTTATCTTAGTACCTTATACGTGCATGTCGCGTTCTGATTGGCTGAGACCCATTGTATAATTTTCAATGTACCCTGCTGACAAGTAAGGTATGTTTCCCGCTCGAAATGCTGAACTGTTGGCATTACATTTGCAAACTACCAACTACAATTTTGTCTCTCATATTAATTATGTAAGACGCCGGATATTTAAGATATTTTCCGAGTCCAAAATAAGTCTAACTTTGTTTTCTGCCAAACGTGGTATTCTTACCGATTCGAATCATAACGTGCATACATAAAACACACCTGCAATATGATTAGGTGATCGGTAAGATATATTTGTTGTCCATCGGTTCGTCCAGGGATGATGTAACTCGCTCGGGGAAGCTTAACTAATATGGAGGGTACGTCAGCCCAAATCTCCCACGAGACTTGTGGACAAGAGCAAATAATAGTGATTTCTATTAATCATTATCTAAGAAAGAATGAACTACTCATCACCATATTAGAACCTACATTACAAGCAGATAATCAAGATTAAAATGGAATATCTACTATTCTACTGAGGAGCCAGTATAGTTCACTGGGTGGACATGGGCAAATAAATACATCTGTACATATTTCGCGTTTCAGGCCCTTGCAAGCTGACTATTCTGGTAATCAGTGCCGGAATCCTGGTAGTGGGCGACCTCAGCCATGGTGCTATACTGACGACAATTCTGGAGGCTGTGTCGTCAAACTTTGCAACGCATGCAACTACGGTAAGTATTGTTAATTGAAACGAGTTTCCACCCTTGCCGAACTGGGATGGATTTTCGTGACTTGATCGTGGCGCCACCAGTGGTTATTACGGGTTATGTCCATTCTGTGTCCTTCCTATTGACCAATCAGGTTCCACCTCCCATATCACTTGTGTTTGCTTCAAACAAACCCGATCTATAATCAAAATCTATGTGGCAATAAAACGGGTCTTCCTTCGCGAAATGCATCAAATCACCTGAGCACCTTGATGACACCTTGATGCCCCACTGCTTCGCCAAACAGCAATATGTTCTCCCTTGCAGCTCAATGTTTGTTTTTCCAGGCGGTGACTACGACAGCTATGATGACTGCAGCGCCTTAATTGCTGCTAATAGCAACTACTGCACAACCGACGATGCAGCCATCGGCTGTCGAGACACCTGTAACTTGGATCAGACCATCTCGAGTGCAAGTGAGCTACCCATTATTCTTGCAGTTCAAACAATAGAATTTTTACTCATGCCATCTTCGTAAACAGAAAGCAGTCTTTAGCTATCAAGTTTTTACTTTTATCAACGAGTGTTGATGTATTTGATTGTTTGTTTTATTTGTTTGTTTGTTGTTTAACACCGCACCCAGCAATATTCCAGCTATATGCCGGCGGTCTGTAAATAATCGAGTCTGGGCCAGACAATACAGTGATTTACATCATGAGCATCGATCCACGCAATTGGGATACGATGACATGCATCAACCAAGTCAGCGAGCCTAGCCACCCAATCCCGTTAGTCGCCTCCTACGACCAGAATAGTCGCCTCTTACGGCAAGCATGGGTTGCTGAAGACCTATTCGAGCCCTGATCTTCAGGGGTCTGATGTATTTGATATCACAAGACAGACAGGTGAGATTCTATTTATCATCCATCATCTGAAATCATTCTTCCAACTTTTTCAGTGTCAAAGCAGCATTAACCAGTGTCTTAGGTGCAACAAGAGCAGATAACCAGCTTCAATTACAGAGGATTTCATTAGATTGTGACGTCATTGTTACTGATGACATTACAATGATCCAATAAAAGCGAAGAAAACCTTCCATATACTTAGCAAATCTCAAAGCAGAGTCGATTGTGCTTGTCTGACTCTATATGATGGTGTGTTTATGAATCACTGCCAAATATTGAAGATACCAAGTATTCTCGGAAAGGTTTAGCGTATGCTGCCTCACCGGTTGCACCCGTCACAAACTCATGCAAAGGCAAGTCAATTGTTCATCTGATAAAAATACACGGAAATATAATGGTACAAGACAATGTAGGTAATTGCATTGGACATTGGACATGTACTCAACATATCTGCCTTAAAACATTTTAAAACATTTAAAAACTGAGACCTTCAATGTTGTAACCTTGATCAACCAACTTTAGAGGAAGAGTCGCATGACGCTCTTTCACATCTTCGTAGAAAGGCCATGCTCGCGAGCACCACAGAAGTTGTGAAATTATGTGAATATTATGGGAAAGTTTACCATTGGTATATATATATATATATATATATATATATATATATATATATATATATATATACCTGTATTTATCAGCAAAACTCTCTATCAGAATGTATGACAAGAGCGATGACATCCACTTGCCAATGGTAAACTATACATATACATGGTGTTTCTTATCTAATCCAGTACAGTGTGATCTATACCACTTAAAAGAAGTATAGAACACCCGATTCGCGCTCATATGTGTCACCAAAGTGTTAAACTTCGGAGACCTTCATCATTTCGGGATTTACTCCGACATCAACTGCAGGCCGTAATATAACTAGAATACTGTTATACACAAAGACACGATCTCAATCCAAAGGTTCTTGTGGTGCTCCGTCTGATGTGGATGGTGGAAGCTTTATCGGGGCGCCATCAGCATCTTACAGCATCGGCAGCAGCGTCAACTACGAGTGCGACATCGACAACAGCATCGTTGTCCCGAGATTCTGCCTTTCCACAGGACAATGGTCAGAAATGGGTGCGATTTGTAACGGTAAGTGCCGGTCAATGTCACGCCTGTGTTACCCATGAATTAACTGATGTATGTGTGAGCTATCATGAGTCTAGTTATCATGTGTGTTTGAGTTTTTATTCGATGGTGATGTATTTGATAAGGTTATCATAGTTGTGTTCAGCACCTTTTGTTTGCAGTGTTTCAGTGTTTTCAGATAAGTAACGTTTTTATAACGTTTGGAACCTTTTGGTAAAATCCAGTTTTCAAGTGGATGCTTTCTTCAGCCCAGCAGTTTTGTAAAATTTAGTTAGGAAACTAGTGGTTGATAGCATGAGCAGCAGCCTACGTCAAGTCCTCATAATAGTTAGCTGTCACAAGCATGGCGACCTGTGAGCTTTTTCATTCCGGAATCCTCACATGTAGACGCAATGGATTCTGTGGTCATGTTTACTACGAGTGAGAAAAACACCAGGTTTCTGTAATAACTGACATCCCCGATGTCTTACTTATAATACTTGTGAAATCCGGGGTAGAATAGGTCTTCAGCAACCCATGCTTGCCGTGAAAGGTGACTATGCTTGTAAGAGGCGACTAACGGGATCGGGTGGTCAGGCTTGCTGACTTGGTTGATGCCAGTCATTGATCCCAATTGCGTGGATCGATGCTCATGATATCAGTCACTGGATTGTCTGGTCCAGACTCGATTATTTATAGACCGCAATCATATAGCTGGAATATTGCTGAGTGCGGCGTTTAACAGCAAACATCACATCATAGCAAAGGGTTGGTTTTTGATCCACTGACCGTTTCATATCAATAGACATTAATAGATGGTATTTTGTGTTGCCCTGCCTGGCGCTCGACATTAAGGTTTTGAAAACGGAATTGTCAACTCGACGTTAGTATAATTTGTCTTAGTTAGGTATCCATTTTAAACTGCTATATGGCATCTCAATGTGCTTGCAGTATGAAACCGGCGTCTATACCAGTACAAGCAGCTGCAATCGTGAATGCACGTCGCTTAAAGGAAAATAAATCTTGAACGCGACGTTAAGTCCAAATTCACCACATGATACCTCTTAATTATAAAGGGGGAACAATAACACCAACTACAACTACAACAACAGCTGCACCAACAACTACCACAACCGGTCCCATCGTGGTATGCGAGGCTGGTTACACAGGCAACACCGACGATGGTTTCTGCTACAGATATTTGGGAACTACCACAAGGTTTGGGCATGCAGCGGCATGTGCGGCAGAAATGGCTGAAGTTGCTGACGCCAGAAAGGCTGAAACACAAGCATTCCTCGTGGCTTTGAGAGACGCCAGCGGGTGAGTCATCACACTGATTCCACTTTTTGTGACGGTAGCAAGTTCTGTTCTGGTATTGTTTATTCAGCAAGGTTACGTAGGCCATCGTAAATGAAATTTACATCAGCAGTTTTGTCCTAAGTTGCATAGACTTATAAATATACTTAGACAAATTTCTTGTGCTAATTTATTTATCACTGGACATATACGGGGGCGGTCGGGAAGCCTAGTGGTTAAAGCGTTCGCTCGTCACGCCGAAGACCCGGGTTCGATTCCCGACATGGGTACAATGTCTGAAACTCATTTCTGGTGTGATATTGCGGGAATAGTGCTAAAAGCGGCGTACAACCATACTCACTCACTCACTCACTCTTGGAATATACTGTTCACGCAATTAAGCATACACCATTCATACAAACAAGAAATAATACTCATCCTCAACAAAACCTTTTCAACAAACATTGCAGAACCTTTCGTTTCTTGGAACATCTGCATATCTGCAAGTCTCAATTTTTAGTTGGTGAGAACTACCTCTAAACATAGCTAAGCTACACGGATTTGTTGATAGAAATATACTGAATATAATGCTCTTGACACACTATAGCTTTATACACAAAGTATTTGAATGTTTTTGCACCAAGTGACAAGGATGCATACTGGTCTGGATGATAAATACATTTTGCTCTTACCATGAAGTCTGAGAAAATGATTGAATACTGCCAATACACTGATTATCCCAAACATAGCCAAATCCCATTTTAAATAATACATTTCTTAACTCTGCAGGCCAGTTGCTTTTACAATGACTCATATCTAACAATATCATATTATAGCATTTTTGCGTTAGTCGTGAGTCTTGCATGGATAAGTAATTAATACCAATATTTTATACAAAGCTTGTAGGCATAGATATATACAGGTATCTCCCACACTCACCACGAACAACACACCCGTGAAGACCCGGGGTAGAATAGGTCTTCAGCAACTGATGCTTGCCTTAAAAGACGACTATGCTTGTCGTAAGAGGCCACTTACGGGGACTGCGTGGATCGGTGCTCATGATGTCAATCACTGGATTGTCTGGTCCAGACTCGACAATTTGCAGACCGCCGTCATGTAGCTGGAATATTGCTTAGTGTGGCGTTAAACAAACACACAAACAAACAAACAAAACCACGAACAACATGATTTGGAGTTGACTTCACACCAAGAAAATATTTGCATGCCTGAACATGAACGCTGAATGATGTCAATCACTGGATTGTCTGGTCCAGACTCGATTATTTTCAGACCGCCGTCATATAGCTGGAATAGTGCTGAGTGCGGCGTTAAACAAACAATGAACATGAACAATGAATGATGTCAATCACTGGATTGTCTATGAAATGAAGTATGTGATCTTGATTCCTAACGTTATCGATATCCGACTTAATTTCTCTCAGCTTCAGTCAACTTCCTAGTATCAGACTTTATATCTCTGATGTCCCGAGACAGGTCACTCGTCACTGACCGAAGCCCTCGTAAAATTTCTTCGTTTATACCGATAAACTCGTCCCTCTCGATATATTAACTATTGACCAGGGTTGAGTTCGACGTCACCAGATAAAAGTAAGCTATGAAAACGCTGTATATTTGTAGGCATCTTGACACAAACAGTACAAGTACAGAGGCTAGCCCAAGTCCATGCTGTAAGTCCACTTCGGGGGGAGGGGGGAGGGTGTGTGTGTGTGTGTGACGGGGGGGGGGGGGGGGGGGGAGTAACAAGTCAACATTGCCGACTTGCTCAAGCCTCGGGGGTGACAAAAGAGCCCTATTATTGCCCTCCATGTTGCACCCCCATTGCGATGGAAACGCCCCCTAAGTCACCTTCCGCACCTGTATATACGAATGTTGTTATTTGTCGGCTTTAGGCGCGTGTGAAATGTTGAATTTTCACGGTGTAGTCGGAGCTCCATCGTCACACGTCTACCCGACTGAATGAGTTTTGTTTGTTTGTTGTTTAAAGCCTCACTCAGCAATATTCCAGCTATATGGCGGCGGTCTGTAAATAATCGAGTCTTGACCAGACAATCCAGTGATTGACATCATGAACATTGATCCACGAAATTTGGGATCAAGGACTGGCATCAACCACGTCAGCGAGCCTGACCACCCGATCTCGTTAGTCGTCTTTTACGACAAGCATAGTCGCCTTTTACGGCAAGCATGGGTTGCTGAAGACCTATTCTACCCCGGATCTTCACGGGTTGAGAGAGTGAGTTTAGTTTAACGCCGCTTTGAACAGAAGACAAAGACAAAGATATACGTTCCCCTGAAAGAAGACGTTGCTATTCCTTCCGCTGTAAGAGGACATTGATATACGTTCATTATTTTGAAGGACATTGGTGTACGTTGCCTATTTTGAAGGACATTGGTGTACGTTGCCTATTTTGAAGGACATTGGTGTACGTTGCCTATTTTGAAGGACATTGGTGTACGTTCCCTATTTTGAAGGACATTGGTGTACGTTCCCTATTTTGAAGGCCATTGATGTACGTTCCCTATTTTGAAGGACATTGGTGTACGTTCCCTATTTTGAAAGACATTGGTGTACCTTCCCTATTTTGAAGGACATTGGTGTACGTTCCCTATTTTGAAGGACGTTGATATGCGTTCACCGTCTTAGGGGGCACTGACATACGTCCCGGAGCAATATACAGGATCCAACATTATTGACACTGTATGACAAGTACAGAAGAACTGGAGCGTTCTCGTTCTTGCAATGTTGCAGGTTGCAGAGAGGAGAGGACTTCTCCACAAGCTGGGACATCGGCACCAGTGAGTAAATTGGGACCCGCTCGCCGCACTGGCATATTGTTGTTTGAAATGTATGGAAGAATATTGTTGCGTTGTCGCACTTCGGTTAAATTTAACCCTTTTTGCTTGTTTAGTAAGAACTATAACGCGATAACGCGACAATGTCCCTACTGGGATTTCATACCTGTCAGTTTTGTTATGGAGATTAATGTCAAAACACGTTCCACATGTAATGTGAATTAAATATATTCTGGTTGAGGATACGGGAAAACACAGTACCCAATACATGTACATGAGTGAGTGAATACGCTGCGTTAAAGATTATTTTTGTTTTATCACGACATAATAGCAAAATATGTCAAATGATGGTACTTGTTACCCTGCCGGACGCTTGGGGATAAACCAAGGACTGGCTGGTCAGTGTAGTGTTTCTTAGTATAATGTATCCATGTTAATCTGCGGAAGTAAAGAAGAATAAAACCGGCATAAGTCCGGACTAGTACAAGGGGCCACACAAACACGTCACAATATAAGACTTAGTGAAACAATTTTGAACGCGAAAACTCACCTCACCTCACCTCACCTCACCTCACCTCACCTCAGCTACATGATTTGTCAACTGTTTCTGCAGGCGCCGGACCTAATGGCTTTTCTAACAGGTGTGGCCACATCGGGTCTCAGTCTGCCGGAAACAAGTTTGCATCAAGGTGTGGGAAGAAGTGGGACTTATTTTGTAAGAAGAACTCTTTGGCAAGCTCAACAGCTAGTGGTAAGCAGATTTTTCCCGGATGACATAAATTCGAACACCCGATGTCCTTGTGAAAATTCGCTATGATCTTCGCGTGCATACAACTCATAACAGCTCTGTAGATATACTGTATCCGCACCTACTTCGTCGCCTGAGAACCAGGGTGTTCTATTTAAACTATTTTAATTTAGAACCAGACTATTCTATCTCCGAAATAAAAGTAAAAGGGAAATGGTGAAAACGTCTGTACATCAATATTTACTGTGATTGTTAAATGTCAGTACCAATATGTTAACAATTATATTTGCATCATCATGAAATGTTCAGAGGCTCATTTATATTTTGAAATATGAAAAAAAGTCTCCTACCTTGTGCATCTGACTTCAATCCAACGTTGGAACCAGAGTGTCCTATCTCCATATCACGTGGCAAATACGAATATAGCCATTGGATGTTCACATAGAACACTCTAGAACTGAAAGGCTGTTGAATTTGTGGAGATAGAACTAAGCCCATCTATGAAAAAACACATTTCCTGGCACTGTTTCGCTTTGAAACTTGATATGGAGATAGAATACACATTGAAAATAGCTCGAACAACATTAACTCAATTTTCACCAAAAGTGGAGATAGAACACTTTGGGTCTAAGGCGACGACTTGCTATCAGTTCTATAGATAGACTGTACCCCTTTATATCTGATATAAGATCTACAGATATGATGTTCGCGTGCATCTCTGATATAAGTTCTATTGATGGAAGCGTGCGTATATGACACCAGCTCCTAAGATATGATGTATGCGTGGGTATCTGATATCAAGTCTCGAGCTATAATTTACACATATCAGATACCATTTCCCTAGATACGATGAACACGTGCATATCTACAGATATGTATTTGTTGTTTTACGCCGAACAGCGATATAACGTATCTTATTCAAAAATATATATCTACAAAATAAAAAATAAATATAATTCAAATGGAGCCCAGAACAATCTAGACTTGCCTTAACATTGTAGACTTAAGTTGGACTCCTTGGACAAAGACTGGATAAGGCGTTATATCGAGGTTCAATCTACTTGTATTGAAACTAGTTCTTGATATTAATGCCTGCTAAATGCAGCTACTTTTGACATTGTGTATTAAGATGACCGCATTTCCTTCTAGAAAAGCCGCTCATCCGTCACCGTCGCTCCGCCACCATCTGCGGCGACAGGAGGGGTGACTGTCAGGCCGTTATCGACTTCATCCCTGACATGTGCTCCACGTTTTCAGTTTACGCCCAAGATTGCCCCGCTTCCTGCGGTAGCTGCAACCCTGACAGTAAGCTGTTACATGTCTGATCCCCCCCCCCCCCCCATTTATCCGGCTGCTTATCTGTTCAGTTGTATATGTTTATTGTTTATTTGTATTTTTAATGTAAAGTTTACACGATATACGGCTTTTCCATCGGACGAGAGGACGGTCACATGACCTCGAAACTGAGGTTCATAAGTGTATGAAGGACACATTTTGACGAGACAAGACTGTATTCTTGAAAAGACGTGAACAGTGTAAATATGAAGTCAAACTACTAAAAATAGTTGTGTATTAGAAATAAAAATATATACAGTTTGGCCCTCACTCTATGAAGGGTCATACTTCAATGAACTCACACAAAGTGAAAGTCAATTCTGAAATATCTGGCTGATTGTCTGTTTAGTTGTTTAGGTCTTCTGGCTGTTGAATTGTATATGCCTGCCTGGTCGGTCGTATGATTATACATGTTTCCTTGTCTGTTGACTTGTATATGTCTGGTTATCTGTTTCAGTGTATAAATGTGGCTTGTTGTCTGTTTTATTGAATATGTCTGACTTTTTTTCTGTTCAATTGTATATATCTTTCTTGTCATCTGTTACATTGAATATGTCTGACTTGTTTTCTGTTTAATTGTATATATCTTTCTTGTTATCTGTTACATTGAATATGTCTGACTTGTTTTCTGTTTAATTGTATATATCTTTCTTGTTATCTGTTATGTTGAATATGTCTAGCTGGTTGTCTGTTGAATTGTATATGTCTGGTTATCTGTTTCAGTGTATAAATTTGGCTTGTTGTCTGTTTTATTGAATATGTCTGACTTGTTTTCTGTTTAATTGTATATATCTTTCTTGTTATCTGTCATAGTGAATATGTCTGGCTGGTTGTCTGTTGAATTGTATATGTCTGGTTATCTGTTTCAGTGTATAAATCTGGCTTGTTGTCTATTTATTGAATATGTCTGACTTGTTTTCTGTTTAATTATATATATCTTTCTTGTTATCTGTTATAGTGAATATGTCTGGCTTGTTTTCTGTTTAATTGTATATATCTTTCTTGTTATCTGTTATAGTGAATATGTCTGGCTGGTTGTCTGTTGAATTGTATATATCTTTCTTGTTATCTGTTATAGTGAATATGTCTGGCTGGTTGTCTGTTTAATTGAATGTCTGACTGGTATTCTGTTTATTGGTCTGTGCATCTGTCTGTTCCTCATCCTGGCTAACTACCCTGTCTCTCTGGTTGGCTGTTGACTTGATGTCTTTGATAGACATTTAGAATTGGAATTAATACATGACACTTTTTATGGATCGGAACTTCTTCTATTCTTCAGCCTCTTCTTCCTTCTTATCAGGTGAATAATGAGTACTAGTAGGTAAATGGTTGTTTGCTAGTTCATACATTCCTCTGTTCCGACTGTCGACTAGTTGTACCAGACTTCAATATTTGTCAAGTTAAACAATGAATGAAACAAAGTTAATTGAAGCACGCGTACAATGACCGTTACGTGGACAGTGTCATCACGTCGTGTGCTTTCTTGTCGGACAGTTGTGAACTGCAACGTCCCGACCCCCCAGGCCGGAGACAACACGGTGCTGCAGACCGCTGCCACCTATCGAATCCCCGGGCAGGTGATTCAGTACGCCTGTACCTCAGGTGTACCAGCATCAGGGAATCTACAACGTGCCTGCAAGAGGGATGGCACCCTCACTGGAGCCCGTCCAATCTGCGCAGGTGAGATAGATACATGTATATATATTTATGTGTGTGTGTGTGTGTGTGTGTGTGTGTGTGTGTGTGTGTGTGTGTGTGTGTGTGTGTGTGTATATGTAAGAATGTGTGTGTGTGTGTGTGTGGGGGGGGGGGGGGGTGCGTGTGTGTGTGAGCAATATTCCAGCTTAGTGTCGACGATCTGTAAATTATCAGGTCTGGTCCAGACAATACAGTGATTGACATCATGGGCATCGAGGTACGCACTTGGGATACGTTAGCATGCATCAACCAAATCAGCGAGCCAGACCATCCGAACCCGTTTGTTCGCCTCTTACGACAAGCATGGGCTGCTGAAAACTATTTCTAACCCGGATCTTTACGGGTATTATAGAAATATGAGACCATTTACCTGTGTGAGTGAGTGAGTGAGTGTTCTGCCACACTCAGCAATGTTCCAGCCACATGACGGCGGCCTGGATATACTATATAATCGAATCTGAACCAGGCGTTCCGGTGCTTGACATTGTGAGCAACGAACCACGCCGTCGGGGTACGATGACACTCGATCTACGAGGTCACTGTACATAACTTTTGGATAGTTAAGTGCATTGATGTTTTAAGTACATTCATTTCTCACTGCAGATGTGTCAGCCACAACGTCCTTCGTCACCAAGGGGGAGTTACGCCCCTTGCAATTCGTCATGCCAAGAACGCAGATGTATGGCCCCTCCCCACTGACAACCATAACGCGGTCAGGAAAGGTGGTCACGTGGAGGGCGTATTGCCGGGAGCCAGGCACAATCAGACTGATGATAATGAGAAACACAGGCAGCACGTGAGTGGTAACACACACCGATGTTCTTGTTTGTTTGTTTGTTTGTTTGTTTGTACGACGGCGGTCTGTGAATATTGGACAAGGCAATTCAGTGATTGAGATCATGAACATCGATCCACAATTTTGAAGACCAATTATAAGACGGCTACGCTGATGTTATTGTTTGTTTGTTTGTATGTTTGTTTGGTTGTTTAACGCCGCACTCAGCAATATTTCAGTTCCGGTCTGAACATAAACGAGTCTGATCCATGCAGGCAATCCAGTTACTGATATCATGATCATCGATCTACGCAATTTGGAAACGATGACATGCAGCTAGCAAGTTATTCCGTTAGTCGTCTCTTAAGACAACCATGGGTTGCTAAAGACCTATTCTAACCCGGATCTTCACGGCTACGCTCATGTCATAAACACACACTGCTGGTGATGTACCACACTCAGTGAGTGAGTGAGTTGGGTCAAAAGCCGCTTTAAACAGTGAACATCGAAGTGATGCAGGTCTCATTTGCCACTTTGATGATACGATCGAACACGGATATGGTGCTGACAAACCTGAAACCGGAAATCAAACCCACGACCATAGGTTTCTGTCGTGCTGCTGTTACTTAAGGAATAATGTGTGCGCCACTACTGTTAGTGACTGGAAGTGAAACGTCCATCTATCGATCTACCTACCTCTGTTTGCAGGGTGACGATCCTGGGCACCAACGACGTAGACTGTAGACAGAACCGAGTCATGGAGTGGGACATACCATCCGCTCAGAGAATATCTGTGCAATCTGGGGACTTCATCGGTGCGGCTGATCTGGCAGGAGGCCGGCTCATGTACAGCTTCTGTGAAGACTACAACAACTACGGCTACCTCGAGTACAACTTCGTCAGTAATTCACTCTTAGTTCCAGGAGCACAACTAGCCACAGACACCAGCAATTACAGCTGTCTTGTTATCCCGGTCAATGCTGTGATAGGACCATAGACATTCCGACGCCAACTGTGCCATCATGAGTATATATACGAAAATCTAAGAAACAAGTACTTACCGCAGTGGTCTTTATCTCATTTTAATGCTAAAAGATTGTCTTCATTACTGTCTTGCAAGGATCTTATAACACAACATCAACTGGCTTTGTACATACATAATGCTTTTTTGTTACGAAGTGAATTGTTACCTTGACTTTGTATTTTATAAAATATGTTATGTAACTCCGTTGTATATGGGCCTGTGGCCTTTCATACAATAAAGAATTGAATTGAATTGAATTGAATTGAGTACGGCTTTATCTCGATAATGATCTATTACGATCAGGACAGCAAATAATTTCAAATACTCAGTAAAGTTCGCTATATATTATTATAATTTGACTTTATTGTCTTATATCGGATAGTTACGCGATATATCGCAAATACCAGTGAAGAGCGAAGCGTGGTTTTTTTCACGAAAAACATTGTTTAATTATGACGTCATTTTGGAGACTCGAACATGCGCTCGCAACTTGATGACGTTGTTTATTGGACGCGATGGCCGAACGATCGCATCCTAAAGCGGGAGCGAATTGACAATCGGTATTGAGAGAAAAGGTACAGGTAATTGATGTGATTGTAAGAATATGCGGGAAATATCCACCTGTGCATAGAATGGAATTGTCCGACATTACCGAGGTCCGATTCTATTCAGGTCAGGGAGTCATCATCATTTAATACTGGTAAATATTTTCAAAGCTTGTACATTTTATCATCATCCTTAAAGAGGTTGTACATAATGTTGATATTTCATATAAGAAATAAACGACTCGTGATCGTTGTATAGCATACAATAAAACACTGCAGGGAGAATAAACCACTCTGGGCTGCGCCTCTCATAGTTTATTCTCCCTGTAGTGTTTTATTGTAAAGTCTAGTGCCTCTATGTTCCCCGACTTTATTTCCGATACCGCCAGCCAAACTCCGACGGTCGTCATTGTACAGTGTGAGATCATTTTGTGTTTGAGAATTAGTTGCCCCACTATTTCATTCCCTTGTGATCTAATGGCACTCTCAAACCATGTATTGACTGGATGTATGTTGTCTCTCATATGTTCACCACCATATTCTTGTATTGAAAATGTCTTTATATTTTATGATTTGCAAACATTAGAGGAATTTATATCTACATTCAGCTATTTCTCATGTATTTATATTCATTTTTGCCTCATCAATAATTGTACATAGCTTGTTGTGAATCTTTAATAGTACCGTTGGATAGCTTATGTTTAGCGCTATATTTTAGTGCGCTTCAGTATAGATGTAGTAGTTAGTTTGCGATTCGTGGTATCCCCTTGTAAGAAACACACGTTAGCTAGGCGGCCCAGTCAGTTGTATTCTCCGGCGATCCAGGAGAGGTTCCCCTCCACCGACGTCCGCGCGCAGTGTATTTAAAGTCTTTCTAGATCTCCTATCTTCACCCTCCAGACTTCGTTAAATCGTTCACGATTGTCCCGCTACTGGAGAACTCATGTCAGAAACTCAGGTTTTGTCAGTAAGTGGGTTCGGGGCTATGCCGATCAAGATTCCGACTTAGTCTGGTTGTACTGAACTAAACTTAGCTACTAGCGTTTGTAATGCTTAGTTTTGCTAGTGATACGTGGATGACCAACTTCCCTGTTACTTCTAAGCTCCTAGTAACAAGTGTTTCTCAGTTTTTCAGTCTTAGTTTTTCTCACAATCCGTGGATAACCAACCTTCTCGCGAATGACTTGGCACTGAGTAACTAGTGACTCCAATACTCCGCTTTTCTGGTAATGCGTGGATAACCAACCTTCCCGTGATAAACTAATTATTTAAGAATTTTAGTATTTCCTTGTTCAATCAAAGTGACAGAATCTTTAGTCGATTAAGGCGAGTTGGTATTCAGACGTACCCGTCTATTTTGTAGTCAAAGTGACTCATTTTACTCAGCCTGGGTTTTTCATTCACAAGAGTGTGAAGTTAATTGACGCAGGTGGTAATTGGTCACAGCTGACTTCATTGGCAGTTTTTAAGCATCTGGTCCGTATCTTGTCAAAGTATTGTTTTTGCTACTCTGCTTTTCTTTATTGGTACGATACAGTTGTGTGGCTAAACTGGTTGTATATTTGCGCTGATGGAATTGATTTGTGATCTGTGTGAGTGCAGCTTGGATTTATCTTAACTGTTGTCATCTATTAGTACAATTAGCAGTTATTTAAGAAACCTGTGAACCTATTTCTACGTTTTGTCCATCACTTTATTCTTATTTCATGGCACCCCTGATCATTGGAGCACAGCTCCATGACAATACTCATAATTATCTTCCATGACGTCCCAGGCAAAATAATCTGCGCTCTGTGATTACCGTGCCTCTTGTACATAAAACGGTGTGTTGTCCGCCTTGGTCTTGGCAGTGTAGTCGCTGCGCATGCCCAGTATGAAGCTGAGGCTTTGTCTATGCTTGATTGACATACATTGCTGTACTAGTTTGGACGTTATGGGTTGTGCGGGGGTCTCTCGTGGCTCGTGGATACATGAATTTATCTTACCGCAAACCTAATTATATTGTAGATATTTGGTCCGAATCTGTAAGAATACTACAGCTATACATTTATCCACTTCGTCCATTTTGCACATTCATCGAAAAATAAATAAAAAGAAAATTAACTTGAGTTATTCCCCCTATATCTATTTCATTCAGAAAATATTGTAAATATCTGGAGAATGGCGTCATACATTATTTATCCGAGATACAAACTAGCTGTTAGTATGTTGAAAATGTAATGCAAACAGTTCGGCAAGTCGAGCGGGGAACATAATAACTGTACGTTACATGTTAGCAGGTTACATGTTAGTAAGGTGCTTCAAACTGCACCAATGTCAAGGTCATATTCAGTTGTGTATTCCAGACGACTAGTGATCATTTATGGAAAACACATATTAGACAAAAACTTATTTCCATTCACTACCTCCTCCACCAATTAAAATAAACATTTTAAACAAAAAATGTTATCCATTAAAATTTACCCACATGCTTCTTGGGGCATCATACGTTCCTTTTTTCTTCTTGACAATGTGAAGCAATATCTTGTCTTCAGCAATAAACTAAATCAGTCATTTGATTTAACCACCACCTGGGAGGAAGAGTGAGTGAGTGAGTGAGTATGGTTTTACGCCGCTTTTAGCAATATTCCAGCAATATCACGGCGGGGGACACCAGAAATGGGCTTCACACATTGTACCCATGTCGGGAATCGAACCCGGGTCTTCGGCGTGACGATCGAACGCTTTAACCACTAGGCTACCCGACCGCCCCGGGAGGAAGAGAGTCATTTGTCAACACAGGAGGAGGCAACGTTGTAGAAGAAGAATCCACCACATCGGTTCTAGGGGGAGACACCATGGTACTTATATCCACAACGTCAGGTCTCGGGGTAACTTACGGCTGTGACATAATTGGTAATCCAGTTCGTTCAGAAATGATGGTTTTGTCATTAAACCTAATGTCAACAGAACGAACACGGTGTGATCTCCATGGCGTCTTATTAATTATTACTCTGAGCTGGATGACGTAAGATACAGGACCCATAACAGAGTCAAATACACCAGGGATCCATTGTTGACAACTTAAATGTCTCGACCACATAGGATCACTTATCCTAAATGGTCGCATCCTCCTTGTACACTCTTCAAAAACCTTTCTCTGAGTCATCTTCACACGACCTTGATTATACAGAAAAATCAAATCCAGCGTGGATCTGGGTAAACTTCCCAACCACAACTGAGAAGGCGAGATGCCTGTTGTTGGTTGTGGAGTTAGGCAATAGCTGAAGAGAAAATCTTGAAGTTTCATGTGCAAAGTTTCACCATCAGTCTTGTGCAACCCAGTCTTAATGATTCGAACAGCTTCCCTGGCTTATCCATTTCCGACGGGATGGTAGAGAGAAATGCTCAATGCTAATGTTTTCATGACCATTCCAAATTCGTCATTTACAAAGTTTGTACCATTATCGGTCACCAACAACTCGGGTAATCTATGAGTAGCGAAAGTGCTTCTTAAGTGAGCCACAGCAGTAGTAGAATTCTGCACAGCAACACATTCAATCCATTTGAATATGCGTCAATAACCATGAATGGTCCAACAAAGTCCACATGAAGTCTTTGCAAGGGTTTCGATGGAAATCCCCAAGGATGAATCGGAGCGGCTGCTGGACTCTTCATGTTTTCTTGTCATGGTGCACAGTCCGTGACTTTGGCTTCGATGTCCTTATTCATGTTATGCCACCACACATAACTGCGGTCAAGGCCTTTCATTCTAGTAACACCAGGATGAATGGCGTGTAGTTTCTCAATATTTCTCTTTGAAAAGTCTTTGGAATGATCACACGATCACCTCTCAGAACACATTTGCCAACGACACTCAGCTCATTCTCTAACCTGTGATGTGGTTCCAACTCATCAGGCAAAGCAGAAACATTTGGCCAACCAACAACATACTCTTACACTCTGGATAGGGTGGAGTCTTTGGATGTTTCACTTTCCATGTTCTCTGCTGTAATTGTAGAAGTTTCTACCTGTTTCAACATAAACACCAGATAGTCTACCATAGTTTCTTCCATGGGAAGAAGACTCAATGAATCAGTATTGCTATGATCACAACCGTTTTTTGTAGATCACGGTATAGTCATATTCTTGTAGCAATACAGACAATCATTGAATGCGTGGCGATACCATATTTGGAACTGATTTGTTTAGACAAAAGTGAAACAGTAGAGGCTTATGGTCTGCAACATGGTCTCAAAACTGTGACAATACAATTTGTGAATTTTTTTCGACCCATAAATAACAGGAAGGCCTTCCCGATCTAATTGAGAAACGTTTCTTGCGGCAGGTGTGAGAGTGCAGGGCACAACCAAAAGGTCGCTTCGTTCCATCAGGAAGTCTGGGTGCCAATACTGCACCAACACAAAATGATGATGCGTTACAATGTAGTTTGTTTGTTTGTTGTTTAACGCCAATCCAGTCATTGATATCATGAGCATCGATCCACGCAATTGGGATCGATGACATGTGTCAACAAAGTCAGAGAGCCTGACCACACGATCCCGTTAGTCGCCTTTTACGACAAGCATAGTCGCACTTTACGGCAAGTATGGGTTGCTGAAGACCTATTCTACCCC